CAAAAACTATTTGCAATACTTTTCTATACACTAATAGATCCGTCAATGAATGAAATTATCGTCAACACTGACCGTGTGTTTGGAAAAACACTGCAAACCAGGTATGAAAGTGTGAGATATATGACCAAAATGTCAATTAAAAAGTCATGTATTTTTAGCACATAAGCGAATGTTTTGTCAAAACGAGTCAAACATTTTCCCATTGAGTCCATTGATTTGAATTGTTTTCACAAAATATCTTTTAGTTAATAATATTCTCCTATATTTGACACAAACACACGACTATAATGTTTATATTACTAATGTGTTGTTTGTTCAGTGCGATGGAAATGGCCACTGATGTCTTACCGACTAGCATACCGATGCTCACGAGCGATCCCACGAGAAGTGCTAATCTCATTGACATTAACCCATCCATTTCTGTAGAAATACAGGCAACCCATATGGACACCACCGCCACGACAGGTAATCACGACTTAATTTATGAGCATGGTCGCCACTAAGTGAATCAAAACTCGCACCCGACTACTGGTTATAGCAATTACTTATTTTTTTGTACGCGTTATACACGGCTAGGGAGCTGTGTTTTATGACATCCAGTTTCATGCAAAACGACTCCTCATTATTCTATTTAAAAAAACAAAAGTTACCTTTCTACAAACATCATTTACAATTTATTTTTTGTACGCGTTATACACGGCTAGGGAGCTGTGTTTTATGACATCCAGTTTCATGCAAAACGACTCCTCATTATTCTATTTAAAAAAACAAAAGTTACCTTTCTACAAACATCATTTACAATTTTAAAACCTTACAATAAATACAGTCCAGTACTCGGTCTGGTAGTCAAACACGAGGGCAGACCTCAATAGGCAGATCTCAACGCAGCTATACTTCACGAGAATATATCGATCGGTTTCGGAGACACTTTGAAATGCACTCAAAGTTTTGGTCACTTTTATGACACCATTTGTGTACATCTCTTGTGAGCATTATATTCATAAACCAAATAAACAGTAATTTATATTTGCATTGATGTTGCAGTGACCCGGACACTGACACAGACAGTGACGGTGGCACATCATACCACTATCAACAATGGATGCACTGGATCCGTGTCGGTCACCCCGGAGCCCACGCCAGTCATGCCAATTGGAACCGGTATGTCATCAACTTGGGCTTGATCATTTGCGTATTCGCCCTAATCCTACGATATATTACAGCACCGACGGCCATACCCGACGGCCTCCAAGTTATGCCACTCATCGAGTCGTTGGCCATTGATGTGACGGCATTCACGACATGCCAGTCCGCCTTCAATTACGTGGACACACACCTGAACATTGCCTTCAATTATAAGGATCTACTGGGGCTGGGATGTCGGGGCGTACACATACTGTTCCGAGAGATCCGACACACCCTTCAAACACAGCGCCTCCAGGCTGTCATCGCTCGACAGGACCGGGAGATCCGGGCCCTGAAGGCGCGCGCGGATCGTAACCGTCGGAAATGAGTCCATATTATTGCCCACAATTCCCGTCTGTTTGCCATTTATTTTATGTTTTTAATGACTTTTTAGACAATTTTTAAATTTACTTTTTACCAAAAGTTTTAGATTGAATTGTACTTGCTATTTGTTCATTGACAAATAAACCAAAATTCCATTCATACAAATAATTAATTTATAAACTGTTTGTAAATTGTTTTTATGAGTCAATCCGTTTGCGCCACATTAATGAACATGCTAACTTTTCGCCGCTATATCTGTTATAAACACGAATAATCTCCGTTTGGTTTGAGATGTATGTCTCACATGTGGTGTTCGTGTCGGGAGGGGTAGGTTTGGCCACAATTGTGTCGATGCGCTCAGTATTAGTGGTATTTTGTGGTGAATTAGTAAAGGAATCGCTACTTTTTGATGATATGTCGGTGTCTGTGGACTCGGACTCCGATTCCTTACGGGTTTTGGAGACCAATAGACGTTTGCATTGTTTTTGATGACTTCGCTTAATCCGGTTGTTGAGGATCTTTGCCTTAATTACTCCCAACTGTTCCTCATTTAGGATCCATTCCTTGAGTTTAAATAATATTTGTGTTAAACTTTTTGTTGAGGAAAGTTTTGGTAAAAGTATTTTTAATTACTTTTTTCATTCCGATTCGGAAACACTTATCTAAACGACATTTTTGACAGAATTTTCTGGTATTCATATCTATTTTGCAATTGTTATCGATAGCGTATTCAAAATATTTAATAAAATGCATTCAATTAGTACTTAAAGGGAGGGAAATATTTCAATAATATTAATAATAAAGTTTGAATGTGTCATGAATTCATTGAACATTGAATTCATTAGAAGTCTTTCACAGAATATTCTTTGAGTATAAAATAATTTATATATAAACTCTATGCTAAATAAAGCTAACAACAGACTCCTAAGAATTATATTCAATTACTATCCAGAATATTCTAATATACAGAATATTACAGGTATATTTGTTTGCATGATTATAAATAACCTAAAGTTTTACTATTATAATTATAAGATTCTTAATATATTAATAAATATTATAATCACATACAGTAAAGTTCTATATTCATTATAATCAGGGTCGGGTCAAATGTGTGGCATCAAAGTTGTAGGACTGAATCAATCGCAAGTACATAATCTCAATAGCACCATATTTGATCAAGGCAATCATGTCATTCTCGCACAAGTAGCCAAAACTCCCAGATATTCTGCGCCATTCTGTGTCGATGGGCTCAGTATTAGTGGAGGAATCGCTACTTTTTGATGATATGTCGGTGTCTGTGGACTCGGACTCCGATTCCTTACGACTTTAGGAGACTAATAGACGTTTGCATTGTTTTTGTGACTTCTGTACAGTTTCTAACTCTTGATAATAACTTAATAAAATCACTTGTTTTTATGATAGTAAACAATATTTGTATGCATTTCATAATTTACGCTAAATTTTGCGCCAAATATAAATCAAAATAATATTTAATTCAGAGTTAATTTTAAAAATAAATTTACAAACAGGGTATAAATGTTCACTAAAATGCATTGTTTTTGGAAATACCTTGGATTCAGTAGAAAATGAAAAGTATTGGATTAACAAATGGATTATTAGCTTAACGTATATACAGTATAATAAAAGTCTATTAAATACAAGGAAATGAATTGTATTTGCGATTAGTATTACAAATAGAAATATAGAAAATAAAAGTTTTGACAAACAATTTGCACATTTTAAATATACAATCATTTAAATGTTAAAATAAGTGAATATACATAATTTTCTATAACATCATGCGTAAAATACTTATAAGTGCAGTAATTTTTACGCACTTATTACCATGTTGCAAAATTTTGGCAATTGGTATGCATTTTGTGATAAAATTAAAAACTGACTCAAAAAAGGTTTTCCAAAAACTATTTGCAATACTTTTCTATACACTAATAGATCCGTTAATGAATGAAATTATCGTCAACACTGACCGTGTGTTTGGAAAAACACTGCAAACCAGGTATGAAAGTGTGAGATATATGACCACAATGTCAAATAAAGTCATGTATTTTTTAGCAAATAAGCCACTATTCTGTCAAAACGAGTCAAACATTTTTCTCATATTTGACACAAACACGGCTACCATGCTTATTTTTATTATGTGCTGTTTGTTCAGCGTCGTGGGTATGGCCACAGATATTTTGCGGACTCGAATACCGGTGCTGACGACCGGTCCCATAAACAGCGCTAATCTCACTGACATTAACCCATCCATTTCGGTACAAATACATGCAACCCATACGGACACCACCACGACAGGTAATGACGACTTAATTTATGAGTATGGTCACCACTAAGTGAATCAATAATAATTTGTTTGCATTTGTGGTGAAAGTGACGACTACACCCGACCCCCTACCAGTGCCATCCATGACAGAACTGGCGATACCCGATGGCCACATGGCACCCATGGAGGGCATCCTGGAACTGGCGCTTTTCCAGGGCTGCGAAACGATGTTTGGTTTCGTGAAAAGGCGTCTCCTGTTGACCGACTACTCCAAAGAGCTACTCGGGTTGGGCTGCAAAGGGGTTCACGTGATATATAAGGAGATAAGACACGGTCACGAAATACAACGGCTCCGGGATGTGAACGCCCGACAGGACAGGGAGATCCGGGCACTTAAGGCGCGCGTTGACCACATGAGACGTGAATGCAATTAGTTTTTATAGCATTTTAAACTCACTTTTTAAACGATTTTACATTTATTTTTATTATTAATTTTACGACAAGTTTTACATTGAATTGCATGCTATGTGTAAAATTGACAATTAAATCATAATTTCATTGTTTCAAAAAAATTATTCATAAACTGTTTGCTAAATGTTTTTATGAGTCAATCCTGACGTCGAGAATCTCCCGGAGGAACGGACCCAAGCATTTGGGGTCCGTTAGGTAGCACCTCCTCGTGAACACCTTTCCCACGGCATTGATGTCTATTAAGGCGTTCATAAGATTCAAGAATTTTGTTTTAGACGCGAATTCAGACTTGTATTTCAGTAGTAGATAGCGTTGAAGTAAATACATGTATACATTCTGCTGCAGTCTATGAACGCACAGAATATTCTGTTAGTATAGCATATGTTAGTGTTTAGTGATTTGAGTTTTCACTTACTTTATGACGTGTCGGTGCGTAAGGTTAGGCCGGTTTGAGTCGAATAGGAGTATAACTGTTAACTAGAATTGGAGAGAATTTTTGAGATTAAGTTTGAATGATGTCATGAATTGTGTACCAAATCGAGGATAATTGGGTCGGAATCCCATTCGTCGCCGATTTTGGCGAATCCCGTCCGGAATCCCCTCTTCAGGGATTCGCTCCTCAATTGATCCAACTTTGAAAGAATCCATTTATTCCTCTCCTGTCAGTGGAAACCACGAGAATATGCTTTTAAACAACTTATTCACAGAATATTCTTGAAATATAGATAATTTTTTCTAAACTCTATGTTAAATAAAACTAAACACAGAATAATCAGAATAATTGTTGAATCATTATTTAGAATATTCTTGAAATATTATATCTATTTATATAAGCATTACAGTGTTTATAATAAAAGTAAGTATATTCTTGATCATAATCACCATAAACAGGGTCCAATGTCTGGCATCAAAGTTGTAGAACTGGATCAATCGCAAACATATAATCTCAATGGCACCATATTTGATCAAGGCAATCCTGTCATTCTCGCACAGGTAGCCAAACTCCGAGACATTTTGCGCCACATTAATGAACCTCCTGATCTCATTGTCCAACTTTTGCACCATGGCTACTTTCAAATTCAATATATCACTAATAACTGGTTGTGTGGGTAGGCAGGGCTCGCGTATGAAGTTAATGGCATTAAACAATTCAATCAATTTGTTGCACTCGACGTCATTCAGACTACTTGTATAGTCACTGATGTGTTTGGCTATTGAGACCACATATGACTGGAATTCGTGTAGTTTTTCGCCGCTATAACTGTTATAAACACTAATAATCTCCGTTTGGTTTGAGAAGTATGTCTCACATGTGGTGATCGTGTCGGGAGGGGTAGGTTTGGCCACTATTGTGTCGATGGGCTCAGTATTAGTGGTATTTTGTGGTGAATTAGTGGAGGAATCGCTACTTTTTGGTGATATGTCGGTGTCTGTAGACTCGGACTCCGATTCCGATTCCTTACGGGTTTTGGAGACCAATAGACGTTTGCATTGTTTTTGATGACTTCTCTTAATCCGGTTGTTGAGGATCTTTGCCTTAATTACTCCCAACTGTTCCTCATTTAGGATCCATTCCTTGAGTTTAAATAATTTTTGTGTTAAACTTTGTTTTGAGGAAAGTTTTGGTAAAAGTATTTTTGATTACTTTTTTCATTCCGATTCGGAAACACTTATCTAAACGACATTTTTGACAGAATTTTCTGGTATTCATATCTATTTTGCAATTGTTATCAAAAGCGCATTCAAATCCCTATTGACGGGAGATTTGATTACTTTTTTCATTCCGATTCGGAAACACTTATCTAAACGACATTTTTGACAGAATTTTCTGGTATTCATATCTATTTTGCAATTGTTATCAAAAGCGCATTCAAATCCCTATTGACGGGAGAATATTAATGGTTAGCATTTTGTATGATTTATTAGATTATTATTAATTTGTTTTTCAATGAATACCTTATTCTTGAGGGCATTCCTACGGAAAAACGCTTTACATGACTGACACGATATGACACCGAAATTGAATGCTTTGGATGAGTGGTACATATGTTAATGAAATTGAAAAAATATATATAATTATGAAACTATTATGTAATATAGCAAAATATATATTCAAACAATTCATACCAAACGCTTTGTCTCCACATATTAGGCACAACTTTGTTGGCCTTTTAAGTCCCATTGGTTTTGGTTTAGTTTATGGGTTCACAACTTCTGTCAAATATTATTAAAATAACTTTAATATAATGAGCACTTTAACACAAACTAGCACTTAAAATATTTGTATCAATTATCACGATTTAGTATACCACTTAACAAAATGCGATATTTATTTTATACAATACATTTTATGGATTGTCATATGTTTCAATTTATACAATAGTTATTACAATATATTCATAAACACCTTATTTAGAAGTTTAGAGCTTTATAATTAGCAATAATCCAAAGTTATCAAGTTCATTTCGCACTTAATTGCCGTTATCAAAGTCATATGCCTCTCAAAATAGATATTTAATAAAGTATAATTATGTGTTGTAATTTCACGAAAATATATTGAAATATGGTTTTTATGTAGTAATTATACGTTTATAAATTTATAACAGTAATACGACAGACACCTTATAAATAACCAACATTTAGCACATAGAAACTGCTTATTTTTAATGATATCTAAAGTTATATCTTAAGTTTGATTCCTTATCTTATGTTACCATTAGGTTTCAAATACACTATTTGTCATACTTTGTAAATTTATAAGTTATTTATTCTCAAAAATTACGTTTAATTCAATGTACTCACCGTTGTTTCAATAATTAAATTACACAGCTTAAAATATTATAGTAATAAATGGATTTGCTAATGCAATTTATTAGTTAACACAAACATAAATGAATTACAAACTATTGATTTGATGATATAATTCAAAAGTTAACAAAACAAATACAAAAATAATTAGACAAAAGTGTGTTTTTGATAAATAATAAAGTGAAGAACTTTCAATTTTAAATTATTTATATACAAAACAATATCACATTTTATAAATTACATTGCATTTTAAATTAAACACCAATTCGCTTATTATCACAAAAAATTTAAGTCATAAGTGTTTCCAATTGGGATCAGATTGTCTGGTGATCACTTTTCTGCAAATGACCCAACTTTTGGATATCTCTTAATGTACTCAAGAGTTTTGAATATTTTAATTCATTTCATAAACAGATAACAATTTAGTAAATAACATAAATATATTTTCTGTTGAAATCTAATAAAAATAAATATTTAATTTAATATTTCATGATATTTGTTGAGCACTTACTTGACAACATCCCTGTGCAATAGGTTGAGTTGATTTGGGGTAAATACCAATATTGTCCGCATTTATAAGTACATGTGACTTGATTTAATTATTTGTTTAAAATTATTTATTAAAATGTACTAGTTGAACCATAATGACATAGAAATTGCAATCCGTTGTGATTTTGTGTAAAATATTTTTGTATCGTATATATAAATATTTGATTCTATATATTGTATGTATTACAGTATAAGTACTGTAAAAATGAAAACACTAAAATTTGTACGTGGGTCGATTATCAATTATCAGTTAATTAATTATAAATGTATTCAGCACCTAATTATTTAGAAATATAAAAATAGAAATCCTGCGATAGGATTAATTTAATGTTTTATCAGTTTTATCAACTCGTGCTGTAAAGGGAAAGTAGTGGTAAACTATGGCTGTTAATTACACTAACTGTTTATATGATTAAAGTGGCCCAATATTAATTGTTACATAATTTTAAATTATTGAAACCCTAATACAGTATTCATCCGTCAGTAATAACTTATTACTAATAACACACTCGCTATGGACACCAATTGACACTTGAGTTCATGAATAGTTTACTTTTGTTTTATAATTATTTTAATGTTTCAAAAAAGTACAATATTTCAAATGAATGGTATATTCCGTGAAAAATTAATTCAATCAAAGGGTCGTGTTTTTGTCAACAAATAGATTAGTCAAAGGATTAGTCGATTGTTGATCTTCTGGGTAATCATCTTCATTGCCATCACTACTGAAGTATCTGTTGGTTCCCATGGGTGTCATGGGCTCAGAAATTGGCTGACCGTGCGGTGGGTGTCCGGGTCGGGAGGGAACAGGTTTATCGTTCTCTAACTGTCGCCAACTCTTTGGCAGCACTTTCTCCATATAGTAACACACTTTCACGTGAATTAGGTTTATGTCCAAACGCTTGCCTTTATTGCCTTTTGTGAGCAAACTTACGATATTTCCCACAATCAGTGACACCACGAAACCGATAACCGGCACAAAGAACGGGCTGATGTGGTGAATCATATCATTGCCTATGGGTTTAACATTCATTTAATTATTTATGTGTAGCATAATATATTATACCATGGTAACAATCAAGCTTACCGGTCGGATAATAATCGGGTATCTTATAGTTAGCCATAATACTGATGGGGGCGCCAGTAATGTTGTAGGGATTGGATATATTTCTGGCGGCACAGCCCTCGGTGCTGAGCGCCAGACTCATAGTCGCGGGACTCCTCTTGTCGACCACGGATCCGATGACAATCCAGAAGCACATGACCTGACCCGCAATCAAGGCGGCGGCGCCCCCGTAGGCGTTACCCCACGGGAAGAAGAGACCCAAACAAAAGAGACCAAATAGGGGGCCATTGGAGGCGCCGTAAAGCATGATCGCCGCCTCCACTATGTTCTCGGTCTCCATCACCACAAACGCCATACTAATGGATAGGATGCCTATGAGCACAGCCAACAGTTTGGTGACGTAGACGCCCCACTGGACGGGCAGTCTGTGAAAGATCTGCTTTGCGTAGTCGTCCCAAACGATGGACGCCATGGCGTTCAGACCCGACGATAGGGTGCTTAGAGAGCCGCCAAAAACGCAGGCGACGAACATCCCGGGCAGTCCCGGGTAGTCGCCCTCGAAGATGTCGAGCACAAAGTAGGGCAACAGTTGGTCGGGTCGGCCTACGCGGCCCGTCAGCATAGGGTCGCAGTCGTAATATCGGGCGTACATCACGATACCGATGAGTACTGTGAATGATAGCATCGATATATACCCGGGTATTGCCATATACAGGGCCTTTTTGGCTGAGCTAATGCTCGGCATACATATAACGCGCTGGACTTGTAGTTGACTTGTGCTGAATGTGCCGCTGAATAAGACTGCGAACCCGGTTATTATCACCCAAAATGAGTTACCCGAGTATATGTCGAAATTCATGCTAAAAGGCAACAAATACAGACAATTATGACAATTATATCGATTTATAAATTTTAGATTATTATAGCATTACTTCCAGAACTCTATGCGTCCGCCCGTATGAGCCTTTTGAAAGGCACTGGCCATACCTCCCGAAATATTTGCACCCTTTTTATGAATTTAATGTAATTATTATTTATTATAAAGCTATTAATTAGATAATAATTCTGATAAAAGTCATACTCTTATGATAACTGCTAGCACTCCGGCGACCATAACAGTGAACTGGAAGAAGTCGGTCCATATGACACCCTTGAGGCCACCCATAGATGTATAGATGGTTACTATGAGACCAATGACTAAAATACTGGAACTGATGGACATATCGGTGACAATAGACAGTGCTATCGATGGCGCGAACCTTACGATGTGAATGAAACAAGAATTTCAAACATTGTATTCAATACACGCTTTGTTAGGGACTCACAGCTCGACTCCAAAGAATGGGATCTAAAATGTAGATAAAAATTAATTGCCATTAAATAGGACTATACGCTATAATCGTATTTTATACCATAGCTAGCAGCGTGGACAAATTGGTTATAATTTGCAAATTATGTGATTGAAAGCGTTTGTGAATGTATTCGTTGACCGAAAGTAGATTCATGTTATAGAAGACAGGAATGAAGACTTCAGCGGCGAGTACGGCGCCCAACACGGCCGGGATCACTATTACCCAGAACATAGTGCCCGTCACGTACACCACCGTTGGAAAGCCTATGAACGAAGTGCTCGGCAAAAAACTGGCCATAATTGAGATGCAAACCGGAAACGGAGACATAGTTTTGCCACTGATTTGCAAAAATACACATTTGTTTGAAATAATGTTCACAAATAGGAAACTGTTTGCAATGAATACCCTCTCAAGAACTCGTCCTCATTGGTAGTCTTGCGGTCTTTCCACGCGTAATACAAACCAATTGCTGTCGATATCATTAACATCCCGATGAATACCACGTAGTCTACGGCACCGAAATGGTCAGACATGTCGGTGTCTAGTTTTTGGTGGGTTTCACCACTTGTTTCAAATGAGATTTTATATTTTCAAGTCTTTAACTAAAGCCAAATCTCTTTGGATTTATTGTAATCTCATATTTATTTAATGAATATTATTAGGCAATTGAATGATCGCAATGATGTGAATAATTACTGTAAATATATAATTAAAAGCGTAAATCATTTATAATTGAGATCATGTCTGCAATTAAGTGTAACTTTTGGAAAATTATAGCAGGATTAGTTTAATAAGACAAATTAATTAATGTAAAAATTAATACTGTAACCTTTTTTATTTAATATTACAAATTACAGTGTGGATAACAAAAAGACTACCCTACTTTAAATCAAAGTAATTTTAATAGCATGTAGTTTATATAAATATATTTATTTCCAAATTGTAGGGAATAGTTAGGTGTTTGTTTGGTACATGACTTGTTTATAATAAAATTAGATAGAATTTTAACCAAGGTTGTTTAGAAAAAATTGACAAACATTTGTGTTTTTGTATGTATGTAAATCATAAATTGAAGTTTTATGCAAAGTGTTATTTTATAAAATTCATATTTTAACAAAATTATTAGTGAAAACGTTTTTAGTGATATTTTTTATTTAACATTAAAAACAGTTTTATCATGTTATAAAATAAATATGTATACTTTAATTTAATTAAATAAATTATGATTAACATGAAATATAAATTTCTAAGCAACCGAATATTTAAAATAATTAAATTATAGTAGAAAACTTGTTAAGATTAAACATTCAAATAATTATATTAAAAATATAGTCAATTGAAAAATAAATTGCAATTAGTAACTTTAAAAATATTGCTATAAAAGGTTTCACTAATAATTTTGTTAAAATATTAATTTTTACTAAATAACAGCTTGTATAATACTTCAACTTATGTTATAAAAACTATGATTTGCAATGTAAATTTTACATACAAAAACATAAATTTTAGACAATTTTTTTTCTAAACTAACTTGGTTAAAATTATATTCAATTTGATTATATACATGTCATACACAAAACAAACCCTAACTATTCTACTATTATACTGTATAATTTGGTAATGAATATATTTATATAGTTTACTAAACATGGTATTAAAATTATTTTGATTTAAACTAGAGAAGTCCTTTTTTGTCTACTTTGTAACTTGTAAGTGGAGTTTAATAAAAAGTTTTCGTATAAGTTTAAATAAATAGATTACAAATTAAATAACAAAATTTTATTTAATTATTATATTGTGTAAATTTCAATTTGATTACAAAATACTTCAGTGAGTAATGGACCCAGTTGTTTGGGACCTCTTTGCCCTGTCATGTCTGTGCACACGACCCAACTCTTGGATATCTCCTAATATACTCATGAGTTTTGAATACTTTAAATCACTGTCCGATGGATACTTCATAAACAGCAATTTAGTAAATAATACAATTACCAATTACATTTTCTGTTGAAATCTAATAAAAATAAATATTTAATTTAATATTTCATGATATTTGTTGAGCACTTACTTGACAACATGCGGGTGCGATAGGTTGGATTGATTTGAGTTGATTATATTTTAAAAATAAGTTATCTATTATGACGCAAATTAAGTGCATAAAATACACAAATATAGAAATATATTTTATTGATTTAAATTTAATTAAGCTCCAATTTTCATATAATTTATTTGGAAGTTGGCTTTGTTTTTTTAATAATAAAAATAATGATGTATGCCTCAAATGGCATTTTTATTATAGCAAGTGATCTCTCTCATACTGATGCCGTGTATAATAATATTAGAGCGAAGCTGTGCTTAACTCACATCTCCCGTCAGTTATACCCCTTATATGCATACCACAGTCCCTTACATAAGGTATCGCATTACAGTACAGTGCAGTATGAGCGCATAGTTACCCAGTATGTGGATAGGGATGTGTCTGGTATATAAGGCAGAGCCCACACCAAACTCGGCGGACTCTCAGTACTGACTGACTTTGGGTCAGTGGTTGACGGCTTTTGTGGAGAGTACCCCAACTTTGAGACCTATTTTTACTTCTTTGTGTACTTTTGGTTTATTGTATAAGTGATTCATAATGAAGAGTATTATTTAAGTCTAAACCCGAGCTAACTCACGATCATTACCTGTACATTCCCGCGCGTGAGTTAACGAACTCACGGACTGAGTCACGGACTCAAAGTCACGAACTGACGGTAAGTGAAGGGAACGACAACCCCTCATAGGTAAGGCGTTGGCCCCTAGGTATCGCACTTAGGAATAGTGAGTTACGCTCCAATATTATATTATATATTATATCCATACAATTCTAATTAAGCTTATGTACAGAAACTGTATTTGCTTTGTGGGTGTTGTGTGAGCTGGATGTTTTATATCCATTATTTAAAACAGGCAAACCCTGATAGCCAGCATACCATTTCGGTGGTGACAGCAATGGGTTCCTATCTTTGACTACACCGGGCGTTGTGAGACCAGTAGTGGTCAAGTCATGCCATTATATTATAATCTTCTCTGACCTCAGTATTCATTGGATTCTTTCATTAATATTAAAGATAGAAACTATATGCTTATATATCGTGTAAAATGAAACTCTGTCACAATTTTACGAGACCTACATTTAATAGAAATATCTCTGAATTAAACGATATTTTGCGAATCGGCTTAAGACAGGATGACATCAAACGCAAAACTAAAAATTGGATTTGTATTAGTAATAAATTTATTTATTTATTCCAAATGATACAAAAATTCTGGAATAATAGGTTTGATATACACTTAACTTCTAATGAATAACATAAATAATTTTTAAAAATGTTTTTTTGCAGGATTGCTTTTATACAGACTGGCACTAGACAAAGGATCGCCACAAATAAAACTATCATTTACCCGATCACTTATCTCTACAATAATGTTAGTACAAATAACTTGGTGTTGGAAATATTTCTGTTATAATATAAATTAAAAATTTGACAGAAAGCGGATATTTTAATGGATGCTTACATTATGAACAGCGAAACGGAAGCTCAGACAGACTTCATAAGTCCAATGCCTAACCTAAGGCCCATAGCTATGCTAAGCAGTCCTATCCACATAAGTAAAAAGACTGACGGATTAAATGCTATTTTTGAGATATTTTCCCCATTAATCTGGATTCTTATTGTTATTTCCTATATTTTAATATTAACTATAGATATCAGGAAATTTAATATATTTTTAAAAAATATATTTGATAATATTGGTTTATTTTTACGGCAAAGTATGCTATTAAGAATATAATTTTATAATATTAAATTTTATTAATTACTTAATTCTAATCAAGGCATAAGCATGAAAACTTTTCATAATAAAATTTTATTGATTACCTGGATTATATTTTCATTCATTATTTATAACTTATTTAGTAGTGATATTCAATCCTCATTGGTGTCTAAGAAAGTGCTAATAATAAAGACGTTCAAAGAACTCATCGATAAGAAAGATATTATTATTTATATTAATAGGCATTCATATCAGTATCGGATTGTGCAACAGGTTTATATTAAAATTATTATTGCTCACTCACTTTTACTTTAAAATTAATTAAATTTACATTCATTTTTATATTTGAATAGGATTTAAAGGAATTGATTCCTCGCCTAATATTAATCAATGAGAAGGAGGAGCTTAGTATAGAATTAATATTTAAAATGATTACAAATCAGGGAATCCTTATAACGAGTGAATACAGAATTGATGACTTGATTGCCGTCTACTCTCCACTACAGCTGAGTCTCGTAAAAACCGGTGATATCTCGTACACAACTTTATATGGATTTGCTGTCAGAAAGGGTTTGGATCGTCACGTCAAGAATACTCTAAGCAAACTGTATGTTCACAAAAGTTTGTCACAAATATTAAACATGCATACACTTGATTAGCCACATTACTATATTGTTTTCTTAATTGTTTACATGCTTACTATTTAATGAATAAAATTTAAGTTTTAATTATAATCTCATTTGAACTCTAGGGCTAATATTCTACACACTTCTGGAGTATTGAAGAAGTCTTTCGTAGGCTTTGCTAAAAACCTGCATTATGATTATCAGGATCTATTTCAATGGCTTAAAACCATTGGTTCCATTGGAAAGAATAATGACATTGGATTATATTATAATGAAAACATTATATTATGCTTAAATCATTTATATTTTCTGTATTTCTATTTATATAAATATGGTATTATTTGTGCTTTTGTTATATTATTATTTGAAAATTTATTACACTGTTTTCATATCTGAATAATCAAAATCAAGATAGTTTACTTACTAGTAATACACTTCGCATCCCGATAGCCAGGCATTTATTTAAACGACATTTATAACAAAATGACCTTGTTATTGCATAGATGTTACAGTGGACACCAAATTAGCACCATTGAATAAATATTAAAATGTATATTAATATAAAAGAATATTATTTTACTGTTTCAAAAAGTACAATACAGTACTGTAACCTTTTTATTAAATATTAAAAGTTACTGTAACATGTAACTTGGATTTTACTAAAAGGTCTTCGTATAATATAAGTACTGTACTAAATAAATAGATTGCAAATTAAATAACAAAATTTTATTTAAGTATTATATTGTATAGATTTCAATATTAAACAACAATTTTATTACAAAAAACTTCAGTGAGTAATGGACCCAGTTGTTTGGGACCTCTCTGACCGGTCATATGTCTGTGCACACGACCCAACTCTTGGATATCTCCTAATATACTCATGAGTTTTGAATATTTTAAATCACTATCCGATGGATACTTCAGCAATAGATAGCGTTTAAGTAAATATAAATACATTTTCTGTTGAAATCTAAAATAGGTAGTACGGTTAGTACGGTATAAATTTAAATATTTTTGGTTATAATTTTTATATATAAGACTTACTTCACGACATCCCTGTGCGATAGGTTGGGATGATTGGGGTTAAAGAGTAATATGGCTCTCATCTGTAAAAATATTTTGTTAAATTACAAAATTTTTGTTTATACCGTAAAATATTGTACCAGCTCAATGACAATGGTATCAAAATAGGAATCCGACTTAAACGTGTTTAAAAGATTTTTGAGCGGGGTATACACATTGTGCGGGGCCAGCTTAATGACATCCAAATGTACGCTAATCGACTCATTCTCGGTCTAATAGAATATAAATTTAAAAACAATTTATTTACTGAACATGTTTATAGTTAATGACACTTACTATGGGAATAGTGAGGCAACCATTTTCGTAGTCAAAAACGAGTGCAGATCTCAGATATAGGAACTCAACGCAAGAATCCCTAATAAGTATGAGTTTGTCGTCTTCGCATACACTTTGAAATGATTGCAAGTGTTTGTTTATTTTTATCATATTTTTGAGTAAACTGGTCAATTTTATCAACATCATTTGTCCCAGCTCAGAGATAGTATGGATTTGTCTGGTGTTTGCATAGTTTGGTAATAATATACCCCTTGTCCACAGTAATTCTGATATACTTTTGCATTCAGTCTCATTAAGACTATTGTTGTGATTACCTATTGGTTCATAAATATGAGCTTTTATTGGCTCATTGTTATTTTCATTGCTGTCAAAAATATCCAGGTCCAAAAGATTAATTTCTTGAACATAATCAGCATTATTAATTAGATCATGTTCAAGTGTGTCACTAATTATATCAAGTTCGTGTTCGGAATTCGTTACTGAATAATCATTTTTACATTCAACAACATTATTATAATTCAAACTATTTTTTGCAGTAATAACATCAGGGTAACTTGTATTTGGTGTAGTCTGGTATGCAATCGTTGCTCGAATTTTCTTATTATTTCTAATCCTTTCTCTTAGGGATGCCTTTTCCTCGTCATTAAGAATCCATTCCTGAAATTATAATTAAATATTATATATATAATTAAATTTAGAAACTAGGTAGTTTAATACACTTCGCATGCCAATAGCCAGGCATTTATTTAAACGACATTTAGAACAAAATGTCCTTGTTATCACATTGATGTTACAGTGGCCATCAAATTGGCATTTAAACTGTTAAATGAATATTAAAATGTATATTAATTTATAAATATATATTTATCTTTACGTTATTTTTGATGGCATTGCGTCTGAAAAATGCCTTACAGGGCCCACAAGTGAGACCACCAAAATTTCTCCCTGATCATAAATACAATTAAACTGATTATTGAATAATTTTTAATAATTATAATATTAATTACCAATTGCTTTACCGCCACATACTAAGCATATTTTACCGGCCATTGTTAATCCGTTTTGTTTATGAACTTAATTATTGAATTTCTAAATTAACATTAAACATTAAATGTTAAATAATTCAAAATAAATATTATTTATATTGTTTATAATACTGGTACCTTGTTACAATTTGTTCACTCAATTTTATAAAACAATAGTTGTAGTCACTGATAAACAAATATTGAAAAATAGTACTTAAATTATTATTAGTTATGAGTAAATTAAATTTTTTTATTTGTAAGAAAATGGGTTTTAAGTGTTTTCAGACTATAAACAAAATCAGATAAAATGATATGAGTTTTTGGTGCAAACTGATTTGCCATATAATTTAGTAGATGTTCACTATTTCCATGGAAATTTTATTTTACTAATGTTCATTATTTACACAATAGCATTTATTTGTTTTGCAACTGATAAAGCAATGAGTTTTTGGTGCAAACTGATTTGCCATATAATTTAGTAGATGTTCACTATTTCCATGGAAATTTTATTTTACTAATGTTCATTATTTACACAATAGCATTTATTTGTTTTGCAACTGATAAAGCGATAAAAATGTATTGTAACCATGCATGAATAAACTATTTTTATTATAACAAAGTATCACAATTGTAAACATAATTCTTATATAAAAACATATAAAAAATTGTATTTATATGATACACTGTATTTATTATAAGTTTATATATTGTATATATTATCTTATTTAAGCACAGGGCCTACTGTAACCTGTAACAGGGTAACAGGGTCTGTGGGTCACCTTTATCTGTTCTACAATATTTTCAAACCTTGACAGACAATCGGAATTATATTTCAGGGTTAATTTGCCCTTCATTAAATATAAATATAATCAATTTTTGTACCAGTAGCCAAATAAATTATATTATTTTGAATAGTTAATTTAATATACAAACTATCAAAGAACTAATAGACTTCTCACTCGATATAATTATTCGTCCTTGTTAGATTAAATAATTAGCACATAGAATTAACATGGGATTAAGTTAAGTTTTATGACAGAATATTCTAATTAAGAACACTCTTACATCATTTTGCACAATAATTGTAATATAAAACATTAAAATTTACCCTAGTTGATTATTATAAAATAAAACTACTTATTTCAAAATATTTTATTTATAATTGTTTAAAGTTATAATTTAAAACTTATAACTTATCAAGGTTACATGGAAAGTGACATAGAATTATATGAAAAAATGATTTAACTTCAATTATCCTGGCGTTTTAAGATAATTTATAATACTTAAAAGAACTCATAAATCTCGTCCAACAAAACCTCGGGTATCTCATCCTGGATGTCGTGACCGGAGGGCACCGCACGGCCCGTCACATTGTCGGCCACTTTTTGCCATAAATCCAATGGTTTAAAGCAAGCTCCGACGACACCATTGGCGCCCCACAGCACGCGCACCGGGCATTTAATTTTACGGCCCGCGGCCCTATCGGCGCGATCGTGATCCAGGTCTATGGTGGCCGACGCCCGGTAATCCTCGCAAACGGCGTGAGAGTAAGCCGGGTTGCGCATAGTTTGCCTGGGTCATTTAAATTAAATTATTATAAATATGGTAATTGTCAATTGAATATAATTTTTTTCTAGTATATTAATAATTTATGCGATTTATAAATAAGTGTTACCTTAATTAAGTTAAAAAGTAAATGAGCAAGCTTACCTGTACGAGTCGTACTCGAGTTTTCTTTCCGGGTCAGAGCCACCGGTGCCCAGAATCTGGTCCATCCAGAAGTCAGGGTTGGCGGCGATGAGTCCGTCGGGAAGTGGTTCGTCCTGGATCAAAAAGAACCAGTGCCAGTACATTTCCGCGAATTGCATCGTGGTCCCTTCATACATGGCTAACGTGGGTGCTATGTCTGGAAACATATTAATTCAATAAAATAATATAGTTTTTAGTTACCTTGATTTATTTTGATTCTAAGAAAACTTTATCTAGTTTTAAAATCATTGAGATCCGTAAAATTTCGTACTATTATGTATTACTTCACAGATAAAAATAGGTTTGCCTAACAAAACCTAGGTTATTGCAACCTAACCTAATATATCGTGCTCTAACGTAATTTAACATAACATAACCCTTGTAAAATATTGTCTTAAATCTACTCGCAAACTCGTATAAAACTACTGCATATAAATCATAAACTGTATATTTTTCATATAACATATGGTTTCCTACCTAAAAACATGGCCCGTTCCACACGATCGGGGTAATCAATGCACATCCTATGGCCTACGCGCGCCCCGCGGTCATGGGCGCAGAGGGCAAACTTGGTGTATCCCAATTTCTCCATTAACTGAACCTGGTCTTTGGCCATAACGCGTTTACTATAATCTTCGTGATTTTTACCGCCAGGTGGCGCCGAACTATTGCCATAACCCCGCAAATCGCTGGCAATAACCGTAAAGTTTAGGGCCAACCGTTCGGCAACTTTACGCCACGACACGTGACTATACGGGTGGCCGTGGAGTAGGAGTAGTGGCGGACCCGACCCGCCCTTAACGCCTGCGATTTGAGTCCCGTTTACGTCAATTAGAAACGGCTTAAAATGCGGAAAGAAATGCGTGTCGATCGGAACGGACGCAACGTGTGACACATAAATCACCATGCTCAATATCTACGCTTGCAATTAAGATATGTTATGTTATTTAGGATTTTTAAAAATTAAATTATTATTTGTAATTGTAATATATTTACCGTTAATATAATAACATTCATAATAATATATGAAAATAATGTTGATTATTGAATAATGAAAGAATTAACTAGTTTAAATTAAAATATATTTTTAAAATATATTATTGAAAATCATTAGCAATTTCAACGTTATTTAATAAGTATAGCAGGATATTAATAAATTTATAATACTTAATAGTTATTTATATAGTCATTTTATATATAAATGTAGTATATTTTTACATTGAAATCATATCAAAGCACAAAGGTCCTTTTTTGTACTTGTTCTTTCTCATAACGAGGTTACATTTAGTACATTATTAATTTTATGCGACAATAATGACAATTTCATAGACATTATAACTATAAACATTATTTTCATTGTGCACCCCTTCACTGCTAAAGTGGCACATATTTTATGGATATTGTCACTATTATTCCCTATGTAAAATTAAGTGCAAAAAGATCAATTTATTATAAGTATTTATATTAAAATCACAATATCTAAGGCACATTGTTATTATACAGTAAAATTTATATTGATTTAATAAGAGTATAAATGAATGCTTATTGAACCATTTATATGCTATATAATACTGTACATGATATAATATTGTAGATATAATAGATATAATTTAAGTACAAATAGTTTAAGTGGTTTTAAGTTTACTATTATATTATAATCACAATTCAAATAAAATTTTCGTAATTATAAAGTTTTAATGAGCAAATCAAACGTATATTAGTATTAATTATATAAACTGCAAAACATATAATGCTTTTATAAAATACAATTGAATGAGTTTAATATATGATCCTAAGGGCAAAAGCATATACTGTACCAAGAACACTTTGGATCCCTCCCCCGTCATTGTCATTATTAAATTATAACTTTGGGATTACAAATAAACACAAACATTTCAGACATCAAATATGCCAGACATGTAATTAGGAGACCCGGGTTCAATTTCCGACGCCCTATATTAAAACAATTTGTCTTTACAATTAACCTTTAATAATTTCCACCCTTTTCTCTCATAATATTAATAATAAATAGTTTAAATAACATTTGAAACTCAAATATAGCTATCTTATTATCACTGTAATATAAATCTAATGTTTATACTCATAACATTTATTTAGAGATATATTGTACATAGAATATTATTTACATTTACAATTTTATGTGGCATACTTATTATTCAATACTTATACTGTAAATATGATAAATTCATTGCTTTCAAATGATATCAAATTTATAAATTAGTTTTCTAATATATTGACTAATAATAATACCTTATAATTAACATTATAAACACTTATTTAAATATATTTTAGTAACAATCATCATGGTCATCATTATGTTTGAGCATCAAATATTTCTGTAAGTAGTGGTCCCAACTGTTTGGGATCCCTTTGGGAACTGCTCACTCTCTGGAGATTTGCCACAAAATACAAGTCCTTTAATGTATTCATAATGTCTTCAAACTTTGACAGACTATCGGATTTATATTTCAGGACTAAGTAGCGCCTCAATAAATATAAATATAATTGATGCTGATACCTGTGACCAAATAAAATAAATTACTTTGAAAAGTTAAATTTGTAATAAAATTATCAAGGAATTAATAAACTCGTTACTTGATATAAGTCCTGTTTAATAGATTCTGATGTTTTGGGTTATAGAGAATAATTGCTGCCAACTGTATAATACAAATAAAGTAACGAAATTAATATAATATACAAGGTAATTATTTTATAACATAATAACTACTGTATTATATACCAGATCATATATCCTTAAATCGAAACCAAAACTGCATTGAGCATTAAACAAATATGTTTTGAAAGGTTTGTATATATTAATTGGGTTTTGTTTTAATATATCCAGTTTAAATCTAACTGAGTTATGATTGTCCTGTTCAAAAAATAAAAATTAAAAATTAATATGTGTATTTAAAAACTAATATAAAATATATTTATACCATTAATATATTCCAGTACTCATTATCAAAGTCAAATATAGTGGCCGATAACAGGTAAATGATCTCGACACCACTATTCTTAATTAATATTTGTTTATCATTTTCGGTCAAATGTTTAAACGCACCCAGGTGTTTTGAGAATTTAATTATATTGCGAATCGTTGACTCAAACTTGACAGTCGTGGCCCTGAACATATCCCAATACGAGGTGATCTGGGTCATGTTGTCGTACGGGGGCATCGGGTCTCTAATGGTGTCCATTGCCGTCAATAAGTGGGTGAAATGGTTGCCTTCAAACTCATTGAAATTATTGCTATAATCGGTAATAGGTCTCTGAATGGGAACCGTAGGGGTTTCCCATTTATATTTGTAGTAAAATGATCTAGTTATAATTGTTTCATTATTTTTTGTGTCATCGTCTGTTTCATAAGTATATGATCCTTCATTACTTATCAGGGTATTTGTAGTAATCTTATTCTGTGAAGAATTTGAATTAAAACTATTTTTGATGAGAATTTCAGGCACAGAATCAGTGGTCAGACACTTATTATATAATAGGCTATGATTTTTATCATTAGTAGCGATCAGGAGATTGTCCACAATTTCATTGATCCCGTCGTTTATAACATCTTCGTCGACACTCTCGTCAAACACCAAATCAGCGCAAATGTCGTCAAAATCAATGGTTTCATACGAGTCCTCGTGGCATATGTTTTGATTGTGTTTAGATTCACTAGTATTTGACTCCAGATTAACGGGATTTGTATTCTCAGTACAATGATTATCATATGATTTACTTGTACCAGGTTCGTTTGTATTGACTGTAGAGTCGAGAGATTGGATAGCATTTTGGAGTCTGTTTTGCCGATTCTGTTCCACTTTACGTCTGATGAGCTCCCGTTCCTCATCAGTAAGAATCAGATTCTGTAATAATTTAAGCATGGTTAAAATTTAAATTAATAGATAGTATACAAACAAATAAATAACCTTTCTCATTCCAATAGCAAAGCATTTATCAAGCCTACATTTTGGGCAAAACTTTCGCGTCACTGAACTTATAGTGCATTTACCTCCGAAATAGCATTCGTACTACAAAGGTGAAATATTGTTTATAATGGGCATAATTTGTAGAAATTATTTTTTGCCTGATTTTTGGTGGCATTGCGTCTGAAAAATGCTTTACACGGGGCACATGTTAGGGCACCAAAGTTTTTACCTTAAAGTTAGTATAGTTGAATTAATATTAAATTAATTATTAATTAGGCAATAATTTAATAAGTTTACAAACCTGTTGCAAATTCCCCACAAACACCACATATCTTAGTACTGTCTTTATTGTAAGACATATTTTGTATAATAATTTTTAGCTTACTACATTTGTTAATTATAGATACTGAACATAATTATATATTCCACCAGTGAAGATATAAGGTAGATGATAAAGTTGTATTCAGTTCACTATTGTGTACATTATATCAATATTTCCAATGTAAAATAAAAAGGTTTATCTCAAGGTCCACATTTTTGTTAAACATTATTTAAGATTTGAAAAATCATTGATAATTATGTTGTCAAACATATGCATTCAATGAAAAAAACCTGAATATAGTAAATATAGTATATTTTTGCACTTTTCAGAAAAACGTTTCATTTTATTTTTATTATTATTATCCAAACTATTGTAATATTTAAATAAAAAATCTTGTTAGATAAATGTAATGGATATTATATTAAACAACATCATTAGAATTTTATATCAAAATAAAATTTAATATCTCAATAGTTAATAATTTAATTAATAAATAATAAAGCCTATTGTAGTAAATCTAATTAGTATTAAATAATTAGTTTATTATAGTATTATAGTGTATTAAACTTTGAATAATATTGTGTATAATATAAAGGCATGCGTGTTATTATTCATAATGACCATGTGAATTAATTACTTTGAACTTCCGATCAAAACAATTATGAAATGTACTCATTGTAATAAATTGTATTATACATTACAATCACTTTATTATTAGATATATTTTTATACAGTATGTTAATTATATTCATATATAATTATATCAAATTCCTGTGTATATTGATTAGAGTTTATTAATGAATATTTTATTTTGAACAATAAACAACATTATTTTTTTTATAAATAGTAATATAATTAATTGTTTATTTTATATTACGTGATATAATCTAATAATTAAGAAAGATAAATACGTTATCACATATATCGGTAATGCCCCAAAAAATAATATATAAATATTATAGTATAAATATACTCTTTTATAGTATTCTATATAATATATTATTTAAATGGTTTTAGGCTTACACATATTATTTTATAACTTATAAATATAGATTTGAAATTAATAATTTAAGATCTAGAAGCAATATTTTTTTACGAACAAGATTATAATTTGAATACTAAATAAACAAAATAACAAATCAATATATTTTAATGCATAAATATCCTATAACTATATAAATAAAGAATTACCTTTATTCCAAATAATAATACTAGCTTGTATAATATTGATAGTTTGTATAATAATCATTAATGTATTGATTCAATACATATAAATAATAAATATACCATATAAATACAATATTCATTTATTACAATAAATATTTAAAAAATAACTTGGTTAATTCAAATCAAACAAATCCGAAATAATAGGACCAACTTGTTGAGGGTCCTTATGAGACCAAATGGTTTTAATAATCTCTCCCAATATATTAATATCATTGACACAACTCATGATTTTAAGAAATTTATATTTTGCTTGATTGCCGTCCGAGTGATATTTTAGGTGTAGGTATCGGTGAAGTAAGTACATGTACAATTGTTGCTCAAGTCTAGGGATAATTAAAATACAATTTTAAGTAATTGCTAAACAATAATGAATTTTCTGAAATAATGTTTAACTTACTTAATGACATCCCTATGGATTAGGTTTAGACGATTTGAGTCAAACAGTATGATAGCTGTCAACTAAATATAATGCTAGCTATTTTATATGGCTTAACTTTAGTTTTATATTAAATAGTTTCAATTAAATCACTAACCAGGTCAATTATGTTAGGGTCCGAATCCCATTCGGGACCAATTTTACTAAAATAATTCCTGTAGGGATCGCATAGGAATGGCTCACAAATAGCAAAGAAATCCATTTTTACTCGTATAGAGGTGTCGTTTCCCTGAGGAATAAATACATATTTATTATAAATTATAAAACTAAACATGTTTAAATAACACAAAATTTTTTAAGAACTGACCGCATATATAGTCCAATATTCATGTGTGAGATCATAGTACTGAAGTGAACGCATACATAGGTTCTCAACGCACCCGTACTTTATAAGGGCTAACCGGTCGTCACCGCAAAGGGTCTTAAATGAGTCCAGATTTTTGGCCATTTTAATGAAGTTCTGTATTTTCTGACTAAACCTGATAACCAGGGTAGTTTTAAATTCTGTGACATCTGACATCTCAGAGGTAATGGTGCTCCCTATGGGTTCTCGTATGCAATTGACGGCAACTAATAATTCTTGCATTTTGTTGAATTCAAAGTCATTAAAAGTTTTGTTATAATCACTGATATGTCGAGCTATGGAAACAACTGACAATTTGAATGAGAGTTGATTTTTATGTAAAGATTTTTTATTTATTAATAACTTGCTAATTTCAGGATTTCTTATTTGTTTATTCAGGTCATGACAAGTGAACTCAATTTGATCGGTATTATAAATGTCATTTTCATGAGATGATTCGGAGTACTTTTGATTGTCATGATTTAACTGTTGAGCTTTTGTATGACAAGTAGTGTTGACTTGATGTGAATTATTTGACTCGGAGTTTGTGTCAGATTTGTATGAATTGCTAATCAATTGTCGATTCTTTAGTCGTTTTTGTCGATTCTCTTCCGCTTTCTTACGTTTAATTAATTTGTCATTTTCTGTGAGAACCATATCCTTAAAATATTTATTGTAGTCATTAATAAATAGTATAAATCTATATAATATTTAAGTATAATTAACTATACTTTTCTCATCCCAATAGAGAGACATTTACTGAGTCGACAGGTTTGGCAGAATTTTCGTGTTATTAAATTCACTTTACAATTACCACCAAAATAACATTTTGTAAGCTATAAAACAAGGTTTATAAATATCAAATAAAATATTTATTTTTAATATATATACATAGGTTAACCATATAAAATATATAATAAATTATACCTTGCTCTTGATGGCATTCCGCCTAAAGAATGATTTACATGACCCACAAGTAAAGGCACCAAAATTTTTACCTAAATTAAGTGTTATTCAAAATAGTATTTTGGTAAATATAATTTAACAGAATTTTACTGTTAAATTTATTTTAAATATGACATTTTAACTTGATTTTAAAATTAAACGCTTAATGTTAATATAGATATAATACCTAATACTCGGTCCCCACAAACTCCGCAAATATTTACTTTCATTGTATTCATTTCTTATAATGACTACAAACATGTTATCATTTATATACAAATAATGGAATAAATAGTACGTTTAGGGCATTGAGATATTAAACCATTGTTTTCGTATATCATTTTAAGTACAGGTGCCCATAAAAATCACACCAATATTGGTCATAAAATGATAAGACTTTTTTAGAAATAAACTTAGATAATTGCGAAAAATGTAGGGGGAGGGGTAGATAATACACTAATTATCCACAAAATGTTGAACAAGATTTGTGGTGACATTACTTTATCATGAGTTTTACTTCAAGGCCTATCCGTCCCCGACATTTCTTATAACCGGATATTTTTTTACCAATTGATATTGGATATGTAAAAATGATTTACACATTCATTTTTATTAATCGTCAATTTAATCCCATTTAATGATTACACACAAAAGACATCTAAATATAAACTTGGCACATAAATATCTTTTTATGACATCAATTTTCCATTATACCAATAGTTTAATTTGATAAGCTTGATAATATAAG